CTGCACCTTCGCCTCCGGCGCGGCTGCCCGCGGGCCCCGGCGCTGCCCGCTCCGAGCTCGAGCTTGGCCCCGGCCCCGGCCCGCACAGCTCCCACCGCCGCCCATTACCTGGCCGAGACCGAGCCGAGCAGCGGAGGAGATGAGGCTGACCGGCCACGACTGGGAAGGCGCGCTCGGAGCCTGGGAGCCCCACTCGGGAGACTCTACGGGAAAGAAACACTTGAGCTGTAGTTGGAGTTCAAACAACAGCCTTCAATAATGGATTACTTCTCAACCTAAAGAGGGCAAAAATCCTCACTCCTGGGCCTATAAGGCAACATCATGATAGATGAAAGTATTGAAGTTGTCAATGATTTCTTCTTGCTTACTTGGATCAACAATCAACACCCTTGGTACTAGCAGTCAGGCAATCAGGAAGCGTATTAAATTGGGCAAATCCGCGTCAGGGATCTCTCCAAAATACTGAAAGAGCAATGATGTCATTCTAATTTCAGTTTGAGGACTAAAGTGCGCCTGATTCGGACTCTGATCTTTTCAATAACTTGCTATGCATCTAAAAGCTGGACAATGAATAAGGATGGCAGAAGAATTGATACCTTTTGGTTGTGGTGTTGGAGAAGAGTACTTAATATCTCATGAACTGCCAAAAAGAACAAACAGATATGCCTTGGGAAAAGTGCAGTTGGAAAGCTCCTTTGAGGTAAAGATGGTGAAATTCTGCCTTTCATACTTTGGTCATGTTGCTAGAAGAAGCTATTCCTTGGAAGAGTACATCATGATTGGGAAAGGTGGAGGGTCAGCGAAAAAGAGGAAGACTCTCAAGGAGATGGGCAGACACAATGACTGCAGCAGTGAGCTCAAGTGTATCAGAGATGATGAGGATGGCACAAGATAGGACAAGGTTCAGGTCTGTTTTTCTTGGGGTCGCTGTGAGTCATACTTGACTTGATGACACCTAACACCACCACCAACGTGCTGGAAGAGAAAGTTGCTGTTTGTAGGTTGGGCCTTAACTCCTATGCAATTGTAAACTTCATTCATTTATTCTCTAAGTGTGTGTTGAGCTCTTAGAAAGTGCCAGATACTTGTGGAGTGGGGAACCACATACACAGTTCTGGATCCTCAAAGACTGTATCTTCAAAAATTATTATAGCATAAACTTTGATAGTGCACTACATTTTACAGAACCCAGCTATTGTCTCATTAATGCTAATAATTTACAAGCTGGGAATTTCCTACCAGATGAGAAAACTGGACATCGGCATTGCCCTAGATCTCTTGAGAATGGTGGCCTCTTGAACAGAATCAGAGGAAGCAGTCACACTGGTATCAGAAATTTAAAATGTGATCTCCAGATCTTATGAGAAAATTCCTCAGCATTAAAGGATGTGGTACCTTGACCCTTGAACTTTGTCCTTTTTTAAAAAGATTTATTTCTTAATTTTCTTGTTGTGTGCTGTCAAATCAGATTCAACTAACTGGCACAATAGGAAGTTACCCCTTCTTCTCCAGCAGAGAGTGGATTCAAACCATGAGCCCTCAGTACTGCAGTGCAGCTTGTTGCCACAAGGCCACCAGCGCTCCCTAAGCTTTGTCCTTTTCTAGCTCCAAATTTCCAAGACTAGTAACTGGTAGACCTGGTGGGTGGTGTTGCCCATAGAGAGTTACACTGCCAACCCAATGGTTCGAATCCACAGAAGGATGGGCAATATCCTCCCACTAGAGGATTAGTGATGAGTGGATTCTGCCTAGAAAGCAATGAGCTCACTCAAATGGAAGATGAGCAGGCCAAGAGGCTACTCTATGTGGGGTGTGTGAACACTTGCCTCCATTGGTGGAGGGGGGCGATGGGAAGGGGGGAGGAAGGGGATAAGTGGCAGGCCATCAACTGAGGTCCTTAGGACATCCTTGTTCCTACAGGAATTCTTAACTAAGAAAAATGCAAGGGATTCTGTGAACCTGTAATAGAAAAAAAAATAATTTTTCTTTTCAGTAATAGCTAAGTGACATTTAGCATTTCCTTCCATTATGAATGTATTCAACAAACCACAGTGGCATTGGAGTGACTTAGTCACCAATGGACGTCAACGTCATTGGATTATTTTCTCTTTTTTAAATTTTATATTGGTTTGCTTACAAAGTTTTTATACATTGTGTTTCATACAATCATTCCCATGCATTATTTTTAATACCATTTATTAGACTTGTTTTTTAATTTCTACTATTGAAAGTGACCACTTACATTCCTTTTTTTTTGCTTCCCCTTGTTTTGTACCATTGAGTGGGATCAAACTGGCACAGTAGATTGTCTCTGCCTCCAGCAGAGCTTCTGGTGGATTCGAACCACGTGCCTTCGGGATTGCAGCACAGCTTGTTGCCACTAAATCACCAGAGCTCCCTGGATTATGTTTTCTAAAATTAATCACCATTGGACCTTGTGTCATGGGATTTTTGACACATCATGGGTCTTGCATATATCTCAAAATATCATTTGCACTTATCACTACTCAAATTTTAGTACTGAATAGACCCCACCTAGATGCCTTATGGAAATGTCCTAATAAAGAAACATACAAAGCTAACTGCTTATTAGCTATCTTGCAATATAATGAGTTTCTTTTATAATCTCTTTTACTTTATGAATGTAAATACTATATTCTGATGAAGTTGAACCTCTATCTCACATCATACATGAAAATCAACCAAAAATGAATCAGTGGCCTAAATGTGAGAACTAAAAGTGTGAAACTTCTAGAAGAAAACATAGGAGTAAAGCTTTAAGATCTTGTTTATGACCATGGATTCTTAAATATGGTTCCAGAAACATGAGCAATAAAAGAAGGGGGCAAAGATATGCTGGACTTCACAAACAACAGCAAAAAGACCAACCAACTTAAAAAAAAATGAGCAAAGCACTTGAGTAGACATTTTGTTTCCCAAAGAAGATATACAAATGCCCAATTAGAAAAGAAAACCTTTAATGTCATGGAGCCAAAACCAACTCATAGCTGACCCTCCAGCAGGTTTTCAGAGACTGTAGATTACATGGAGATTGCCCATCTTTTTCCCTGTGCAGGAGGTGGATTCCAGCCTCCAGAGAGATGTGATTTTTGGATGAACAACAACTCAACTCTCTAAGGTTTATATATACTAGTAGAGTTCCTTAATTAGGACATAAAAAGCTTTACATTGCTGTTGTTGTCATGTGCCTTCGAGTCGCTTGCAACTCATAGCGACCCTATGTACAACAGCTCTGAACCCTGCTCTATCTTGAACCAATTAAACTGATTCTGACACGCTTGCTACCATGACCCCAGTCACTGAGTCAATCCATCTCATCCTCTCCTGCCCTGTCCCTCCACCCTCCCGAGCATGGTGTCCTTCTCCAAGCATTGGTTCCTCCTGGCAACATGCCAAAAGTATGTCAGGTAAAGCTTTCCAACTCATTGCCTCCAAGAAGCAGCCTGGTTTCACCCTCTCCAGGAAAGACATGTTTGTTCTCTTAGCAGTCCATGTTATGTTCAAAACTCTTCTCTAGAACCCTAACTTAAAGACATCAATTCTTTTTCTATCATTCTTAGACACTCTCCAGCTCTCTGGGACATAGCAAGTAATTGAGAAGTCTATGCCTTGGATCAGATGCACCTTAGTCTCTAGACTGACATCATTGCTCTCCAGTACTCTGGAGAGGTCCCTGAAAGCAATTTGTCTTTTGATTTCCTGGCTGCTGGTACCAAGAGCAATTGGTGCCATTAAGTTAGTTCTACCTCCTCGTAGCCCCATGGACAGCAGAATGAAGCACTGCGTTGACCTGCACCATCCTCACAATGGCTGCTGTGTTTGCAGCCACTGTGGCAGTCCAGCTCCAGCTCATTGATGGTCTTCCTCTTCTTCACCATCTTTAACTTCACCGGGGCATGATGTCCTTCCTTCTCCAGGGACTAGCCCTTCGTAATAACATATTGTAACTGTATGAGAAGTCTCACTATCCTCACTTGTAAGGAGCATTTGGGTGTCCATCTTCCAAAACAGATGTGTTTGTTCTGCTGGCAGTTCATAAAAAGCACCAAAGAACAAACCAACTGCTGTCAAGTCTACTTCAAGCCATACAGATTTTAAAGAGTGGAACATCCCGTCAGGATTTTCAAGGCTGTAAAATCTTTTTGAAAGAGAACTCTCACATTTTTCTCCCAGAGTGCTTGGTAGGTTCAAACAGCTGGCCCTTTGGTTAGCATCCCAGTGTTTAATCCACTGCATTATTCTGAAATTCCCTGATACCTACGATACTCTTTGCCAACACCAAAATTCAAAAGCATCAGTGCTTGGTTTTCCCTATTGATTGACCATCTTTCACATGCATAGAAAGTCATTGAAAATACACAGTACACAGCTTTTTAGTCAGGCATACCTTAGTCGTCAAAGTAATCTCTGCATTTTTAAAGGGATCTTTTGAAGTAAGTTTGCCCAATGCAATAGTTACTAGATTTCTTGACTGTTAGGCTTTGACTGTGGATCTAATTACATTCCTGATCATTTCAGTCATTGCTTTGTTTATCCTGATCTTGCTTACCGGTCCAATTGTGAGGATTTTTTTCCTCTCTTATATTGAGGTGTAATTCGTACTGAAAACTGCGTCTTTGATCTGCATTGATACGTGCTTTGAGTCCTCTTTACTGTCAACAAGCAAGGTTGTATTATCTGCATGTCACAGATTGTTAATGAATCTTCAGCCAATCATGATGGCATGTGCTTCTGTCTTCTTGGGCTATTTATTCAGTATACAGACTAAGTGTGGTGAAAGGAATCAACCCTCACATATACCTTTCCTGATTTAAAATTAATGCAGTATCCCTTTGTTCTGGTCAAAAAACTGTCCCTTGAT